ATGTTCCTATTGCCAAGCGAAAGGGTATGAGATCTTGTACTCAATATCCTATCTCAAATTTTGTGTCCTACTCCCATTTATCATCCTCATATAGAGCGTTTGTGTCAAATATTTCCTCTGTTAGCATTCCTAACCATTTTCAGGATGCTCTTGCTACCTCTGAGTGCAAACTTGCCATGATTGAGGAAATAAAAACACTTAGGAAGAATGACAATTGGGAATTGACTGGGTTACTTAAGAGCAAATGACTTGTGGGATGTAAATGAGTGTATACTGTGAAACACAAGGCGGATGGGTCTATTGAGTGTTACAAAGCTAGACTTGTGGCAAAAGGGTTCACTTTGACATATGGCATTGACTATCAGGAGACCTTTGCACCAATGACTAAGATGAATTCGGTCAAAGTACTTCTCTCTCTAGCAGCTAATCTAGACTGGCCACCTCATCAATTTGATGTAAAGAATGCCTTTCTCCATGGTGACCTCGAAGAAGAGGTATATACGGACATTCCTCCTGATTATGAGGATCATCAGATAGAAAGCAAAGTATGCAGGCTTCAGAAGTCATTATATGGTCTCAAACAGTCTCTAAGGGCTTGGTTTGAGAGATTCACTCAAGCTATGCTTAAATATGACTTCAAACAAAGTCAAGAAGATCACACCTTGTTTGTGAAACATTCCTCACATGGTCAGACTACTGCACTCATTGTTTATGTAGATGACATAGTTCTTACAGGCAATGATAGTGAGAAAATACCTCTGTTGAAGAAATATTTAGCCAATAAGTTTGAAATCAAAGACTTGGAGAGCTTAAAGTATTTTCTGGGAATTGAAGTTGCTCACTCCAAGGATGGGATATTTATCTCACAGAGGAAGTATGTGCTTAACCTGTTGAACGAAACTGGGATGCTTGGCTGCAAGGCCTGTGACACTCCACTGGAACCCAATAAGAAACTAGAGGATGATGAAGGAGGAGCAACTATTGATTGGGGGAGCTATCAGCGATTAGTGGGTAAGCGCACTTACCTATCTCACTCTCGTCCTGATATTGCTGTTGCTATCAGTATGGTTAGCCAGTTTATACATGCTCATCGTCAAATTCACTTCAAGGCTGTCATGAGAATTTTGAGGTACTTGAAGTCTGCTCCTGGTAAGGGTCTCTCTTTTTCAAAGTATAATCATCTTCGTATGGAAGCCTATACAGATGCTAATTGTTCTGGATCAGTAACTGATAGGAGATCAACTTCAGGGTATTGCACCTTTGTTGGAGGCAACCTAGTTACTTCGAAGAGTAAGAAATAGAATGTGGTTGCCAGATCAAGTGCAGAAGCTGAGTTTAGAGCTGTAACACAAAGGGTGTGAGCTCTTATGGATCAAGTAATTGTTGAGTGATTTAGGCATTGATCAGACGGATTCCATGTGGTTATATTGTGATAATAAGGCCACTATCAACATTGCTCACAATCCGGTTCAACATGACAGAACAAAGCATGTTGAGATTGATCGCCACTTCATTAAGGAGAAACTTACTAGTGACACAATATGTACTCCCTTTATGCAGTCTAGTGAACAACTTGCTGACATCCTCACCAAGGGAGTTGGGAGTAAGCCTTTTCATGGCATCTTAGGCAAGCTGGGCATGAGAGATATCTTCGCACCAGCTTGAGGGGAAGTGTTAGAATAATATATTGTTCTTCGGGTTATTATTTTGTAATTATTTTATGCCTTAGGGCTCCCTTGTAATTATTGATCTTCATTAATATAAGTAGGGGATGATATCCTAATCATTCCCTCGTCTTGGTATTCTCTAAATTTATCAGATTGTTGGCTCAGCTTCTCCATCTGAATGGTAGCATGGAAGTCAAGATTGGCTACAAATGAAGAAGATGAAAGTGAGCTACAGATTTTGTAAATCTATTTAAGACGAGTTAGATTGTCATAGGGTGGCTGGTGTAAATGTTGGAGTCTCCTGTCGGTGGCCGAACTTGATTTTGGCTCTCTCATTTCTTGTATAAATAAGGAGAATATGTGATGGCTTTTGAGAGCAACTGAGGTGCAGTAGAAGCAAAAGGTGTGAGAGTGATCAGAGAATGATGTGAGTTGAGTAAGCTAAGTGAGCTCCTCTTGTGTGTAATCTCTGTATTGAGTTTATTCGTAGTGAACTTTTTTCTTTTTCTACCAGTGGACGTAGGTGCATTGCCAAACCACGTAAATCTCGTTGCCTTTGATTGTTTGTATAAGTGTTTGTTTCTGGGCCCTGGGCAAAAAACTCACATTTTAGGTAATTTTTGGAGCAAAAATTCATGATAGATGGCATTTTCCCCCAATTATTGCTGCAGGAAAGGCCCGAGAATAATGCATTCTAGAATATCATCATTTATCAGAGTGTCTCCAATGGGATAGCTAAAATTGTCTTTTAAATTGTGTGTTAATTGACAAAAGTGGTAAAAGTGGACTTAATTTTATGTGTTAAATGTTTGTTAATTAGGGAGTGAACGAGTGTTCAGTGGATTTAAAAAATTAAAAAAGAAAAAATGTGTTATTTTTTTTTATTTTTGAGCAAGCATCAACAGAATTTGATTAATAACAAACTGGTGAAAATGAGAGGACAAGAAGTCCTCATACAATGACTAAAGATCAAAGCAGTAATCCACACCAAACAGTAAAAACGAGAAAAACGAAAAAGAAACCAATCCATGCTTATGCACAAAAAACGTACAAAGCGCACCTAAGGCGCATGCCTCAAACTGTGATGCGCAAGCCTTTGGGGAGTAATGTCTAAAAATCAAAACCTTGATGCGTTTTACCTTAGTCTCAAGGCGAGGCGAGCATTGAGGTGAGCCGCAGGGAAGTGTTTTAAAACTCTGGGGTTTACTATAGTTATGATTTATCCTGAGCGATCAGTCTTGTAAAGATAACCTCTAGTTGTAAGTGAAATACAATTTTATGTCAGCTTATGCCTCTATTTGAAAGGCCTTTTTGTTTGTTATTGTAATTAACCTATGCTAGTTCAATTTTGTCATTTTGATAATAGTGTTGTCGATACTATGCATGATTTTTATAAAATCTTATCTCAGTTTGTTGTTCTGTTGGTCTTTGAAGCATTATGTTCATTACCTGAAAGTTTATCTACTAGTTTTCAATTAACTTTAAGGATAAGATTCTGGATTCTCCTGGTTATCAATGTTAACCCTACAAACATCAAGATATTTGAAAGAGGAAATTTTATTTTGCTCCCCAAACTATCACTCAAAAATCAATTGAACCCCTATCCTTTCAATTGTATCAATTTGACACTCAAACTATTCGATTTTTGATCAATTTCACAATGTCGTCAACTGCCCGTCTATAATTAGACGGAACTTGCTGGCATGGCACCAAACTTCATTTAAAACATCATTTTACCCTCCCAAACTATCGCTCAAAAATCAATTAGACTTCTAAATATAAAAAATAATAATTTAAATTTGAATATTTAATAATAATTTTTCATCTAAAAAGTGAGAAAATTAAATTTTAAATAAGAAAGGTTTGAGTATTGGTGATGTTGAATACTCTTTACACTGTGTTTGGTTGGGGGATTTGGGAAGGGATTTGGAAAGGAAAAGGGAAAAGGTGTGTGAAACTACGTGAAATGTAGGCATATTTTTTTCACATTTCACCTACCTTTTCCATTTCTCTTTCCAAATTCCTCCTCAAATCCCTCAACCAAACACAACATTAGAGAGTAATTGCTAACTTTTGCGTTGAAGTGTCATTTAATTGATGATACAATCGAATAAGTACTAATCTCAATTTTGTAGGCGGAGATATACATTTGCATCCTTCAATATAGTTTCCCAAATTTCAGAAGAAGATGTTTCTCTCATAATAAGTGTGGTCGATCAATCCTATTGAAATTAATCTAGGGAATAAGCTAGCTACGCACGTGTGCGCGCATGTACACACACAAATAGAGTAGCTAATGAATTTTGAGCTCAATTAGTTTCTCCAAGATCACCTCATGGTAATTTGAGACTAAAAGAGACAACTCTAAATGAGGCTTTTTATATTTTTCAATTATTTTTTTCGTAACGTATACTATTTAAAATTTATTTTTCTCATTTTTTTATATAAACTGTATTAATCAAATATTTAAATTTAATTTTTTTATATTCTGGGTTCTAATTGATTTTCAAGGGATAGTTTGGGAGGTGAAATGAAATTTCAAATAATGTTTTGTGTCACGTCAGCAAATTCTGTCTAATTTTAAAATTGCAACTAATGACGAGGTAAAGTTGATATAATTGAAGCCAGAGGGGTTGAATTGATTTTTAAGTGATAATTTAGGGGTAAAATGAAATTTTCTCTATTTGAAATGCTTTCAATCGCCCATTTTTTTGAAAGTTATATTTGGAAGAAGAATGATCCGGTCAATTGTTTTATCCATGGATGGATGAAAGTTGTAATGGAGAGACATCACTATATCTCCACGGTCCCTGGCTGTCGGACTAATTATATATAAACCAGCACTATGTAAATTAAGGGTTAATTACACTTTTCACCCCTGTAGTTTGATTCAAATTTCACTTTAGTCTCCTATAGTTTTAATTAGAACAATTTGATCCCCACATTTTAAGTCTAGTTTCAATTTTGTCTTTCCCTTTAAATTTTTGTTAATTTTCTATGTGTATACCTTAAAAAATTGACGAGTACCTCAAAATTATTAATTCTAACTTTCAATTTAGACAGAAGGACCAAATTAAAATTAAACTTAAAGTGGACAAGTGTCCTAAAACTATTAATTTTAACTTTCAAATAAGATGCAAGGACTAAATTGAAACTAGACTTAAAGTTTAGGAATCAAATTGTTCAAATTGAAACTATAATGAGTAAAGTGAAATTTGAGTCGACCTACAGGGGTGAAAAGTGTAATTAACCCATAAATTAATTATGCTTATTGGCTTCATGTTGACTGTTTTGATAATAGATGTGCTATTATCATTATTTTTGTTGTTGGTCATGGTGAAGGCAGTTGAGGTCACCAATGTAGTGAATTCATGGGCTGAAAAGGAGACCAATGGCCTTATCAAAGAAGTTCTTCCTTCTGGTTCAGTTGGCAGTTCAACCAGGCTCATCTTTACAAATGCGCTTTATTTTAAGGGAGCATGGAATGAAAAATTTGAGGCATCAAAAACAAAAGATCATGATTTCTACCTCCTTAATGGGACGTCAGTTCAAGTGCCCTTCATGACCAGTAAGAAGAAGCAACTTGTTAGTGCATTTGACAGTTTCAAAGTCTTGGGAATTCCTTACAAACAAGGTGAAGATAAGCGCCGTTTTACTATGTACTTCTTTCTCCCAGATGCAAAAGATGGATTGCCAGCTTTAATGGAGAAAGTAAGTTCTGAATCTGGGTTCTTAGATCACCACCTCCCATACCAAGAAGTAGAAGTGGGAGATTTTCAGATCCCAAAATTCAAGATTTCTTTTGGGTTTGAAGCTTCAAAAGTTCTAAAGGGATTGGGATTGGTCTTGCCTTTCTCTGGCGGAGGGCTTACCGAGATGGTGGACTCCCCTGTTGGTCATAACCTATATGTTTCAAGCATTTTTCACAAATCCTTCATTGAAGTTAATGAAGAAGGCACAGAAGCTGCAGCCGCTTCTGCAGCTGTGATACAGCAGAGGGCTTTGATGTCAATGGATAAAATAAATTTTGTAGCTGACCATCCATTTCTGTTCGTCATTAGAGAAGACATGACCAGTGTGGTGCTTTTCATTGGCCATGTGCTTAATCCCCTTGCGGGTTGATTGAACCTGCTGCAGTGGAGGAAAAAAGTGTATGGAGATGAAGCCTAATGTACACGAGTCTAGTGACTTTAAGTACCTGCTTTATGTTTGTATTTTGCTTATGTTAAAAACCCACCAGGTAGAGCAGGGTTGGCCAACATCTCTCTGGTCTTTCAATTTTTGGTCAGTGGTTGACAGTAAACTGTATTTTTATCTGTTTGATGTATTGCGTTCTATCTTTTACCCGTAGTTATGGCAAACTTTTTTTATTTTATTTATTTTTTGAATGTGTTTCATCATTGATAATACATTCCTCTCACTACAAGAAAAATCACCTTTGGTGACTAAATTTTTAGTCACCAAAAGTCTATCTTTAATCGCCAAAAGTCGACTTTTTAGTTTTCCCGACTAAAATTTTTAGTCGCTGCTTTTGTTGCTAATACATGGTCGGCGGAGGTATTGGCGACTAAAACTTTTTTGGTCGGCAAAAAATAGGTCTTTAGCGACCAAAGTTTTAGTCGCCAATAGTTATTTACACTTTTGAAAATCATACATTTAGCAACTAATCCTTTGGTCCCCAATACTCACTAAATCGCCGACTAAACGGTTTAGTCGCCAAAATAAAGACTTTTGGTGACAAATAATTTTAGTCGCCAAAGGTGCTTCCGTGAAAAAAAAAATACCAACTTTTTTGCTTTTTCTGAGATTCAAACCACCAACTTGTCCCACATTCTAAACCTTTAGCAACACACTCCCTCCACTATGCCACTACAACACCACATGAATATATATACAATATATATTATTTATATAGTATATCGACCTGTATTAATATAAAACTATATATATATATATAATTATCTTTATTCAATATAATTTATGTAAAAAATAAATTATTTACTAAAAAAAATTTGAGACCACTTTTGGCGACTAAATCCATTATTTAGTCGCCAATTCTATAATTTTGGGCTACTAATTATTTTTTAGTCACTAAAAAAATAAGTTCCGCCTAAAAATAACAGTTTTGGCGACTAAACCTGTTTTTAGTCGCCAAAAATGTCCCCTTTTGGCTACCAAACTGAATTTTAGTCGCCAATTGCCTGTTTTTAGCTACTAAATTTTTTTTAGTAGCCAAAAAGCTTTACTTTCAACGACCAAATTGTTTTTAGTCGCCAAAACACGTATAATCGGCTACCAAACTGTTTTTTAGTCGCCAAAACCTATACTTTTGGCTACTAAATTATTTTAGTCGCCAAAAACCATCACTTTTGGCTACTAAAAAACCTTTAGTTGGTAAAACCCATATAATCGGTGACTAAATTGATTTTTAGTCGCCAATAACTATACATTTCGCTACTAAATTGTTTTAGTCACCAAAAGTCTTCACTTTTGGCTACTAATTCCATTTTAGTCGCCGAAAATGGCACTTTCAACGACGAAAATAATTTTTTTAGTCGCCATTTCTACATTTTCTTGTAGTGTCTGTCATAATACCTGATGGATCTAGTATTAAAGTCAACATAGAATGCATCTTGTACAGCCTTCTGATGGTTCCAATGTAGCAACTACCAAGTGTTAATATCAAAATTGTAAGAAATTGGGCGCCCATGTGGCATGACCCTTTGAACCTTTTGAACCTTATCCATGTAAGCTTGAATTCAAATTCAAAACTTACTTGGATAATTACTCAGGATATCCATATCTATCATATCAACTGATATGGATAGATGAGATATTATCCTATATATTTAATATGATATGCGATATGGGTGATTAAGAAAAAAACAACGTATGTCGTATGTTTTTCCCATATACTGACTCTCTCCCAAAATACAACGATCAAGAGCCATTTTACACTGTGACTTGTGTGGGTGATATTCATTCTGTAATATCACTCCATTGCTGGGTTGATTGATCAGATTCAGGAAGCACGTGATTTACCCACAAGATCCTTCAATTCAGACTCTGTAGAAAAAGGTATGATCATAATTTTTCATCCACTGTGTTTACCTTAGATTTACATTGGTATCAGAGCATGAATGGGTATTTTCGTGTTTTCTCTAATCATGTGTATATTTTATATATACATATATGTACACATTATATACATGAATGTTTATAAAGGAGGAAAATTTCAACTCCCATTAGATTGAGAGTGTGGTACACGTCATTTTTATGTTCATTAAATGTGTTTTTTGATGCCATAAATGTTTTTGTTGTGAAAAATGGAGTTCGGGAGTACCGAAATCGGACCAGAAAACACCCCAGAAGGCGGCGGGTGTGCCTCACGCTCCAGATGACGCCGTTAACGGTAGACACGCGCTGCCATGCGCTCTCACGCGCCTCCGCGTGCTTAGACGCGCTGCCACGAGCGCGCTATTTCTTGCTTTCATGCGCGCGCCGTCCGCGCTTCCCACGAGCACGCCGGGCGCTGAGACATGTGCTGAGCCATTCTCCGAGCCGAGCCGCGCCGTTTTCCTCCGCCGGCTTGGCTGGCTTGGCTGCTGATGCATAAGGCTCTGTGTTGTTCTGTTTTAAATTCTGAATCGCGTTAAATGGTCATAATTAATTCGTTATAGTTTTGTTTTAAGTGTGGTTGGTACCGTTAGACTCAAAATTAAATTTTTTATCTTTTGTAAAATTTTGAAAATTTTATAAAAATAAAAATTATTTTTCCTAAAATAATAATTCATTATTTCTGGTTTAAAATGCATCTGGTGTTGCATGATTAAGTTTTGGGGCTGAATTTTTTATTGTAGACTACTGTTGTAGTTTACTATTTACTGGTATAGTTATAGCATTTTACCAGATTCTGGAATATTTATTTCTAATTTTATGTGTGTTTATTAGTTATTTAAAATTTCAGAAAATACCAGAAAATTCCAGAAAATATCAGAAGTGATATAGTTTCTGTTATGGCATAATTTGAATATTAAATACAGCATATTGTTATTTTTTTCCTTGAGTTTCTAATATGTTGTAATTGGAATAGCATGATTAATTGTTATTTGTTTAAATTCCATTATTAATTGTGACATAACATGAGTTAGTTGTGAATCTATATTATGATGCTATTGTATGGAATTAGAATTTTTTATCATGCTTTTAGACATGCCATAGTCAGTGGGAGGTTATTCGGTTGAGAGAAATCTTTGTAGATTAACTCCCGAAAACCAATATTTTGCGCATAAATTAAATTAAATTTTGGATAATTGTCACCTGTGGCGCAAGAGATGATTACGAGCATAGCGGATTTTCGATCTTGCGACTTGTGTAATATTGTCACTATTTAATTTAGATTTTTGTGGCAAAATTATATTATGCTAATCAAATTAATCCTAATGCGAATTTTTCTCTAAATTGACTTAGCTTATGGAAGTTAATTGGTTGACCTAGACTTAGTAAAGATGTTCAAATGTGAACAATGTAATCCCATTCTTTAGACGAGCAAAAGCCTTGGAGACTTTAGGTCAAGCCTTAATTGAGCCAAAGTAAGGAAACATGACTCAAAGTTGTCGTGATTTTTGCCTTGTTTGGCATAATAAAAACTAATGTGTGCACTATGGTTAGCAGCACGCTACGTAGTTTTGGTTGGCGAGTTTTTGAGTTATGAAATTAGTAAGCCCTCAATAGATCTGTATATGATCTTGACTATTGAGCTACGCAGATTGACTTTGTAATTTGACTTGTAAATAATGTTACATCATTGGATGAAGTAACATTCAAGAGTCACGCCATCCAAGAAATGCGAGCTTAAATAAATTAGTCATTACGTGTAAGACAAGTAGCTAGTATGAGCAGTGTTTTTCTCTCTACCCAATTATTGGGAGTGGATGGAGTTCATGCACTATAATAGTGTGCGTTGAAATTAACACTAAGTGAAAAGATTAGCGCTTAGAAGCTGCAAAATCTATTAACACTAAGTGAAAAGATTAGTGCTTAGAAGCTGCAAAATCTATTAACACTAAGTGAAAAGATTAGCGCTTAGAAGCTGCAAAATCTATTAACTCTAATGAAAAGATAAGCGCTTAGTGGTTGCAAAATCTATTAGCATTGCCAACTTGTCTAAGTCTGGACACTTACTGTTTCCACACTTGAGTGTGAGACATGAGGAGGGGCTTCTTTGTATGATTCCTTAGCTAGGCTAACGTTTTTTAATAACGTTTACCACTAAGCGCAAATGTTGCAGCATAATAATGAAAAGGTCAAGGCCGACAAGGTTGTTATGACTCTAAGAATTTGACGCATGGCTCATGAGAACATTGTGTTGAATTAGACTCTTTAGCCTAATTCGCGCTTAAGTTACTTCAGGAGCTGTCATAGTTAATAGCTTATTCTCTCCTTCTTGTGGATAGTAGAATTAATTGCAAGTAACTATGAAGCGAGAAATAGATATGGCAAGAGGAGTATCATCATCTTTCAACTAGATACATTAAAATGTATGGAGAATAAAATTGACTTGAAGGTGTAGGGGATTAGCACTTACTAGTTAAATTTGCGACTTAGGCGCACTTGATATCTCCATGACATCCTTTTATGATCTAGTGAATATGAATTAGTTGTGAGTCATTACCTAGTTGGGCCTAAACCTTTAAAACTTGTCTTCGAGAACTCACACATTAAGATAATTGGAATTAGTTGATGACATTGGTCATGAACCAGTGGCTTATTATACTTAATCACATTAATGAGATGATGACATGATGGTTTGAGTAGGCCTTCTCGAGCCTACTCGCTTATGACATCCTGCTCTCATGTGAATGTGTAACTTTGTTCGCAATGGGTGCGCACAAGTAAGTAGGAAAGCCGTAGAAGGTCATTTGTTTTGGCGCATTTAGTCCACTATGATATTTGTGACTAGATATATGTAAGGGTATGATAGCTAAGCATCAATCTCGACACATTTATAGATCACGATACGCATCTGAGTCAAGACTATTTGATCTCCCATAAGTCAAAAGTTTTGAGATGATTTTTGACATTGCACATATGAGGTTGAGATCAATTAGATAACAGCTTTCGTGCTTTTAGTTTTGACCAAGGTGGCAAGTATCTATTTGAGTTATTTTAGAAAAAAAACACTCTGTGAAGAGAAATGGATGCTTGGAAAATTGATTAGTCCTAGTATTCAACAACACAATGGTGTAGTAGAGATAAGGAATTAAGTATTGTTAATGTTAGGTAGATAATGGTGCAAGAAATATTTCCTAATTGGGAATTGCACTTTAGTTTGTTGCCTATATCCCTAA